ATTAAAAGCTTCGTATATAAAGAAATTGGTCCATAATTTTAGATCAGAATCTAAGAATATATTACATGAGTGAACATGAGTTAAAAGGAGCAATCAACTTGGCTTAGACCGCGAATGGAATTAATTCTAAGTATTTGATAAGAAGTTATGGTGTATTTTTTATACCATACTGAATTCGATGAGTTCGATTTAAGTAAGCCACGACGAACGTAACCGCCGACCATAAGTGATTAATCTAGTCAGCCAAACAACCATTTTGACAGTTTCAGATGTAATCCACAAAGAAACCAGCTGCAGTAAACATTATCTAGGAAGTGAAAGTGAAACAGCCTATGTATTCAAAACTTAAGTATAGTTAAACATTCTCTTTTTGTTTCACTCACTTGAATCTTTGATGTCAGGCGCTGATATTCATGGTATCTGGCATTATCAATATCTGATCACAATAAATAAGCTGATGTCTTAAAACAAGTTAAATGTGTCTGTCGAACAAAACGTCACTGTGACCCCCATCCGGCTTCGCAGAGAGTTGGTACCCCGGAAGCACACACAAGGTAAAGTGAGTTACAATTTTTAAAAGGTTTCAACAGTCCCGTTCCATACTTACATGCCCGTAGACCACGACGTGTCCTCATCGTTCCACTCAAAGGCTGCCAGTTTGTCATTGGTCATTTTGGCGAAGGAGTAGATGAGATGAGTGCACAGATTGGGGTCCACGTCTTCTGGCATGAACTTTCCTTGTCCGTTTCTGTACTGGGACCAGTTGGTGTAGTAGCACACTCGCCTCTGGCAGCCTTCACAATACAATAAAACAAAAATTGTTTTAAAAAAGGAATTGTAGATGGAATAACATTTTATACTTTCAAGACAAAAGCTTCTTTTCTCAGTAAAATATTTATAGACCCATTCTCTTGATGTGTTTATGCATGGCTCATCCAGTATCAATCCTAACTATTCTCAACTCATTCTATGCGATTTCGGTAGCCTTGTGGTTTAATTAGTTTTAGTAAGGTTTTACAGCGCTCATAACTGCATACGCTCATATGAGCGCCAAAGGGTGGTGTCAACAGAGTAGTCCAACCATAAAACCAGGCTTACCCTGCTCACCTCTCTAGCCTCAACAGCACAAAGTCTGCCTCGACTATCAAGGAACCCCGGAAAGAGCAGTTCACAAGAAAATGACAAACGTACAAAAGAAGTAGAGGGAAAATGAAGACAGTAAGGATGAGAAAAGAAAAAGCAGCAGTGCCCCATATGTTGTTTCGGCACAGTATGAGCATGACATTGATAAATCAGTCCGTTTACAATTCTACTGTTCACAAGGGGGGGGGGGGGGGCTAGTGGTTAAGCTAACAGGCGTGGAATCGTGTGATTGCAGTTTCGGGGGTTCGATCCTCAGCTTGGGAAAGGCACTTTACACGAATTGTCCATTAAATTTTGGCACGGTCATTTCTGAGATAGACATTAAACTCGGAGGTCCGCCTCTTAAATAGCCTGATAGTGTTGATAAGGTCTTCTCCATAACTTATTCTCTACACTCACCTCTACTGGAGGTAGATCCGGCACTGGGGGTGTTGGCATAAGTGACGACACCGGGTGCTTGTGTGGTCACTTGTCCCGGCGCGGAGGTCGTGGAAGAACCGCTGCTGCTGCCAGATGGCGACTGGGAGGTCGCCGCGGACGAAGATGCTGCAGGTGCCGCAGTAGTACTGAAAACAAGCAACAAAGTAAACAACTATCTATCTATCTATCTATCTATCTATCTATCTATCTATCTATCTATCTATCTA